TCTTCTTTTCATTGAAATCTGCCTTGCCTAAAGCATCTTCACCAGAGGTTTTAATTCAGGCCCATTGAGGAGAGCCTGAGACCCAGGTGACCAGGGAAGACAGCCCGACCTGTGGGAGCAGTTCACACCAGGGCTTCTTTTCTTCTTTTTAGTTGGAATGGCAGATTTACAGAGACAAGGAGAGATAGTCTTCCATTATTGGTTCATTTCCTGAATGGCCACAATGGGCAGAGTTGGGCAGGTCTAAAACAGGTGCCAGGAGCTTCTTCTGGGTCTCCGTATGGGCACAGGGGCCCAAGGACTTGGTCCACCCTCTGCTGCTTTCTCAGGCCATAAACTGGGAGCTGGATCGGAAATGGAACAGTCAGAATACGAACCAGCTGGCATCACAGGCTGGAGTATTAGCTTGCTCTGCCATCTCGCCAGCTCCAAGGGTTTGTTATAGTTTAGCTCAAGGACCGACACCACTTAAGCACAATGTGTGTTTTTTAGTGAGTGCATGGCATACACATGTGGTCAGGGAAAAGTAAGACATAGTACCCAGTACTGGGTAGTTCAGGCTCTTGTGTCATGAACACACTCCATAGCACTTATGGTTATAGGGGACAGCATAGGAGGCCACTTCAGGAAGCTCATGGAAAACAGTGAAAACGTAAGCTCAGTTAGCCAACAGTTGTGGCCCGGCGACCCCAGCATCCTATGGTAGAGCACCGTTTTGACTGCCGGCTGCTTCACTTTGCATCCATCTTTGCTAATGAGCTGGGACAGAGTGGACGGAGGCTCAGGTCCTCAGGCTCCCAGCATTTGTAGCTGTGCCTTCAGCATGCCCCAGCCATTGCAGTCCTGGGTGGAAGATGAAGTGATCAGATCTGTCTTTCTCTAATCCCCTGCCCCGTCGCTCTGCCTGTGAACAAACATAAATAAAAACCTTACAAATTTTGTTGAAACTTCATGCGTAATTTTAAAAAGAAAACATTTATTTGAAAGGCACATTTTGGCCATTTTCCACTGCTTTCCCAGATCACCAGCAGGGAGCTGGATGGGAAGTGAAGCAGCCAGGACATGAATCAGTGCCCACTGAGATACCAATGTTACAGGAGGCAACTTTACACACTCTGCCACGATGCTTACCTCCATAGATTTTTCTTTAAAGATTTATTTATTTTTATTGAAAAGTGAGATATGCAGAGAGGAAGAGAGACAGAGAGGAAGAGCTTCCATCCACTGAATCACTCCCTTAAGCGGCTGTAATGGCTAGAGCTGCTCCGATCCGAAGCCAGGAGCCAGGAGCCGCTTCCAGGTCCCCCATGCGGGTGTAGGGTCCTAAGGCTTTGGGCCATCCTCGACTGCTTTCCCAGGCCACAAGCAGGAAACTAAATGGGAAGCGGGGACGAAGGGATTAGAACCAGCACCCATATGGAATGCTGGAACATTCAAGGCGAGGGCTTTGGTCGCTAGACTGCTGTGCTGCCTCCCCCCCATAGATTTTTAAATACTAGTTTTCCGTGATCCTTTTGAAGACCTAACCTGGATTAAATTGCTGTATCATGTTGGAACAGGGAACTAGAAAGCATAGACCCTGGAATGAAGAGAAAGGCGGACACAGTGAATAGGAATCTCGAGGAAAGGGATAAGGAGGTATTATCCATGAATTCTGGTGATAGCTGTTAGCTGCCGAGGGGGGCTGTGGGTCTGAAGGAATGGGGAGACACTGTTTGTGCCCTCTGAGTATTACAGCTGTGCTTACAGCCACTGCTGCTGGAGCTGTGCTTGGACCATGGGAGGTGACAAGGGCACCCGCTCTGACCTGGAAGGGCCCAGAATGTGTTCCTGTAGGGTGAGATAACATGTGAGCTGCATCGATGGGAGCAAGGGAGTTCCCAGGCTCTGCTTTGCAGAGATAGTGGCAGAGATGAAGAAGTGAGGCTGGGACCTGTGCTGTGGCACAGCAGGATAAGCGCTCCCATTCAGCTCACTGTTAATGCGTCTAGAACACGCCCAAGTCCTTGGGCTCCTATATTCCCACGGGACACTTGGAAGAAGGTCCTGACTTCAGGTTGGCTCAGCAGTAGCTTTGGGACCACTAGGTCTCTGTCTCTCTCTGTAGCTGTGCCTTTCAACTAAATAAAATAGTTTTTGTCTTGTTTTGTTTGTTTATTTTGCTTGAACGAATTACAGAGAAAGATTTTCCACTTGTTGGTTCACTTCCTAAATGACTATAATGACCAGAGCTGAGCTGATCTGAATCTGGGAGCCAGCAGCTTCTTCCAGGTCTGTGCTTTGGCTGTAGGGGGCTTGAGGCCTTGGGCTGTACTCCAGGCCTCCAGCAGGGAACTAGGTCAGTATTGGAGCAGCCGGACATGTAGGTTGCTGATGCTGCAAGTGGAGGATTAGCTTTCTACACTATCATGCCAGCCCCATTAAGTATGTTTAAAAGTGAAATAAAATAATCATGCTGAAGACCTTCCCAGTCTGCTTTTTTAGAGTGAACAATTACAAGGCCATGTTAAGTCCTGCAGTAGAGTAGAACAAAAGTTGAGAGCCCCGTGTTTTGGAAATAAACCTGAAGGGCTTTGTTGATTTGGCATGGCTCCCGAGATGGGGCAAGGAGAGAGAATGGGGTACTGCTCAGATGCTTGGCCTGAAAAATCAGATGCTGGAGTCTTCTGTCATTCCAAGAGGATATGGGGAGATGAGAACTGGGCAGGAGAGCTGTCAGGGATGGGGCTGGTTGAAGGCAGGGTGTCGACTGGACTCCCAGGCAGAGGGGTGGGGCTGTGAGGTGGCTTGGCTCGCCCAGCTGGTGAGCTACAGTGCCCAAGGAAGCTGTGGTTCCTGCAGCCAGGGCTGGAGGATGAGTCAGAGAGCACAGTGGATGGTGGACCCTGGAGGTGAGTGGGGAGGGAGAAAATGAGAAAGCAAGCTGCTGGAGAAGAAGGCAGGAAACCCCGCTGGGAGCCTTTTGGAAGCCAAGGACAGGACATGAAAGCAGTGTGCTCATTAAAATTGCCTTCATCTTTTGCATCTGGTCATTTTAAAAGCCCACGTTATTCCAGAAGAATTGTGGCTTGCTCAGCTTCTCACCCGTGGAACACAGGCTCCGGATCTGCAGTGGTTCTCGTGGCCGACTGTGAGAAAGCACACCAGGCTTGCCCAGGCGTGCGTGGGCCCACAGAGTGCAGATGGGAACCGAGTGTGCATGCCAGGGCCGTCGATGGTGTCCCAGCGCTGCGTGGCAGCCATTTCTAGTTGGGACAAGATGCACGGGTCCAATTTCAAGGATGGCGGAGCAGTTCTGGTCCTGTGAGCATCTCCAAGAGCTCTGCAGGACCAGGCCAGAGGTTGTAGCACTACGTCTGCCACCACATCTGCTCGTTCACTCCAAGCAGGCAACACTGGGCTGTTGGCACGGAGCAGATACCCAGGGACAGAGAATGTGGCTGGGCATGGTGCCTGGAGCCCGGTGCTGTTCCTCTCTGAACCCCAGCACCTAGGAGTGCGGTAGAGATAGATGCAGGCCTGCCTGTGCCTGCTGATTGAGGTCTGCAGCTGCCCCAGGGGGCTGCCAGCCACGGTGCAAACGGGGTGGCCCCTGGGGTGAGCTCTCCTTCTCCAGGAGAGCGGCATTTTCATAAGTGGGTATCGTGCTTGCTGGTTTTCCCCAAGCAGTGAGGCGAGATTAGAAGCACAGATTCTGGAGTCAGATTGCTGGGGCTCATATCCTAACTGTGTCACTAACACCAGATTGCCTCATTTGTGAATTGCAACCATAGTGGCTGGGGAGTGTGCAATGCCCCACCTCCCCACTGACTCCCCCAGTGGAGTTAAGCTACAAACAAGTCTTGTGTTTTTATTTCTAAGACTTATTATTTGAAAGAGAGAGAGGCAGAGACAGAGGGAGATATTCCATCTTCTGAGCCGCAGGCTGAAGCCACGAACTTCCTTCTGGCTCCCACTTGGGCTACAGAGGCCAAAGGGGCCCTCCTGGGCTGCTTTTCTTGGGCATTAGCGGGCAGCCAGATGGGAAGTGGACTAGGTGTGCAGGCAGGAGTGTCCCCCACTGTGGCACAGTGGTACCCCACACAGATAAGTTTTCAGGTGCACATGTGTGTATGCACACGTTTTCTTGTCATCAGTACTGCTTATCTGGCTAATGGCGTCCTGGTTCTAGCTGAAACACCAGTTAGGTGAATTTAGAAAACTTCTCAATCTGAGTGAAGAAGCATTCCTGAAAGATTTATATGTTCTCTGGTTTACACCCCAAAGGACGAGAGCAGCCAGGCCTGAGGCAGAAACTCCTGCTCCTCACACTGCTGTGCGCGGCAGGTGCCACGTGTGGCCCGTGAGGCTGCTGTCACGAAGGAAGATGCAGACCTTGAAGCTGCACTTTCTGTCATTGGAAGCGTGTGGTTGGGTACAGTTCTCTATTAGAATCGAGTCGATTGTGGGAGGTTTATATTATCCACGCGGAACATATCTCCTGTATTTCCTTTGCCCTCAGGTACTCTGAGGTAATAAACTCTTATCTGCAGGGATCCACCCCTGCCACACCTCAGTACCAATTCAGCCGGATTTATAATTCTGTGTAGAATCAATATATTCAAAATCAGATCACCTATCAGAATAACTGATGACCACTTAATAATTTATTTTGCACTCCTTTAAAAAAAAAAAAAAAAGAAAGAACCAGAAACTCCCTGCTGATCTCATGTGGGTGCCGGGGCCCAGCCACTTGACCGTCTGTGCTGCTTTCCCAGGTGCATTAGCAAGGAACCGGACCGGAAGCAGAGTGGCCTGGACCTGAGCTGGTGCTCTGTTGTGGGTTACTGGTGTTGTAAGTGGTGGCTTAGCCTGCCGGCCCTAGAAATGTTCCTGATCATGAATTACAGGATGCTCTGCAGCTTTTCAGAGTGAGGAGAGCTCCCTGGCGGCCGGCCTGCCCTACAGTAGTGGAACTGTCAGTGTAGCAGAGAGCAGTACTCTGACCTTGTGTTCTCCAGGGTGCGGCTGGCATTCTGTGCTACGTGGGAGCCTACGTCTTCATCACCTATGATGACTACGATCACTTCTTTGAAGACGTGTACACCCTCATCCCAGCTGTGGTGATCATAGCGGTGGGAGCCCTGCTCTTCATCATCGGGCTGATTGGCTGCTGTGCCACCATCCGGGAGAGTCGCTGTGGACTTGCCACGGTGAGCCAGTGCTTCGCCTGCATGGGTCGCCGCAGTGTGTGGCAGGACGCACCTGCGGGACCCTCCCCTTGAATGGAGTGTGGAACTCCCTTGATTCCCCAGCTGTCGCGTTTAGCGGCTGCCTGATGGTTGTGTTTTATCCAGAGAGTACAGCTCTTTTCTCATTTGTGCTTCATTTTTGGCAATGTTTCCTTCCAGTTTGTCATCATCCTGCTCTTGGTCTTTGTCACGGAAGTTGTGGTCGTGGTTTTGGGATACGTTTACAGAGCAAAGGTAGGTTGTGTGCTGGAGTTCTTGTGCCGTGACAGGTGCCATGTGTTCGAGTGTTCCCTGCTCGGTCAGCCAGGTCTTCCCTCGGAGTCACTTGTCCTTTCCCTGTGGTGCCCCCAGGCACTGCTCCGACTCAGCCTAGTTAGAAGTTACTGCGCGTCAGGGTTCCTGACTGCACTTAATGCAGCTGTGTTAGCGCTGTTAGTTTGGTTCTAGGTATTCCGTTTTCTGTGCGTTTTGTCACAACAAGCTGCAGATTCAGGTTGGTCTACTGAGAAATTTGTTCAGATGGCCTCAGTTTCCAGATCCCGGTGGAGGAGAGGAAGACGACTTTTTTTTTTTACTTTTTTGTTGGAAAGGTGGATTTTACAGAGACAAGGAGAGACAAAGATCTTCCATTTGTTGATTCACTCCCCAAGTGGCCACAACAGCCAGAGCTGAGCCAATCCAAAGCCAGGAGCTTCTTCCGGGTCTCCCACAGTGGGTGCAGGGTCCCAAGGCTTCCAGCCTTCCTCTGCTGCTCTCCCAGGCCACAAGCAGGGAGCTGGATGGGAAGTGGAGCAGCCAGAATACAAACTGGTGTCCATATGGAATCCCAGCAGATGCAAGGTGAGGATTTAGCCACTAGGCTATCATGTCAGGCCCAGGAGGATGTTTCCAAGGATTTTATTATCATTGCCTTTGTAAAGAACACCTTCATCTTGGACATGGAGAAAAATGGTCATTGGACAAGCATTTGGTTCAGCATATAAGACACTGCTTGGAATGCCTGCGGCCTATATGGAGGTCCTGGGCTCAAGTTCCCGCTCCGCTTCCCATCCGGCTTCTTGCCCGTGTGCACCCAGTGCATGTGCTTGGCCCCTGGTTGACACGCTGGCATCGGCCTGGATTCAGGCTCCTGCTCCCAATCTCGCTCAACTCTGACAGTTGCTGGCATTTGGGGGGCAAACCACAAATGGGTGATCTTTCTGCTTTTCAAAAAATGAAGACATTTAAGATCATCTCCCAGAGGGCTGAGGGAGATGCTGTCTAGCAGGTGGTGTGAAGTTAAGTGCTGGGCGGCAGCCTTTTCATAATGAGCTGCTCGGAGGACTGACTGGTTCTTCAAATTTTTAAAATTGTTTTTACATATTTGGTCCCATCTAAACACTGAAGAAGTACAATACAAATAAAGGGATATTTACTCTTGAAATAGCTTACGGAGGCCTCCATTGAGAAGGCACGTGAGATGTGTCTGTGGAGGGAGGTGCCTGTTGGTGGTAGGGCACGCTGGCCCAGGGCTCCACTGCTCCTCCCTCCTGTGGCTGTCAGCCCGCCATCCTGCGCAGTGTTCCCGCTAGTCTGCATGGTAGAATCTGTCCCGGTCTTTTTCTTGTAAGTTTGAATCTGTGTGGAGGTGTAAAGGAAGAAAAAAAAAATTTTTAAGATTTACTATTTGAAAGGCAGATTTACAGAGGGAAGGAGAGATAGAAAGATTTTTCATCTGCTGTTCCACTCCCCACATGGCTGCAGTAGCCAGGGTTGAGTCATTCTGGATCCAGGAGCCAGGAGCTTTCTCCAGTTAGCCACATGGGTGCAGGGTCCCAAGTCCCTGAACCATCCTCTGCTGCTTTCCCAGGCCGTAAGTGGGAACATGGATTAGAAATGGAGCAACCAAGACTAGAACTGGTACTCCAATGGGATGCCAGCACCACAGGGTGGAAAATTAGCCTATTGACCACTGCTCTGAGAATAACTTCCAAGACATATAGCGGGAGCAGTGGCAGCTTGCAGGCCGGCCTTGGTGCTTTTGTAGGGACCCCGCTCCTGCGACTGTGTCCGTGTTTCTGAGGGCCTGGCTTCTTTGTTTTGATACAGGTGGAAAACGAGGTAGACCGCCGCATTCAGAAAGTCTATCAGTCCTACAATGGCACCAGCCCCGACGCTGCCAGCCGGGCCATCGACTACGTGCAGAGACAGGTGAGCATACACGGCCAGTCACTCCTGGGCACTCACTCTGTCAGGGCCGTGTACAACCTGGGACAAGTCCAGTGTTTTCCGCCCACACCCAGTCCAGTCCAGATCAGAGACAGCTCAAGCATTTTCAGTCCTCTGACCCTTTGCTCCCTCCACCTGCAAGAGTTAGAAGAGAGATGGGTCTCAGAGGAGAGGTGGTGTTCCCGATGGCCTGGGGAGAGCTGGGAGGTCTGTGCCTTTGCAACAGGCTCAGCAGGCTACAGACAGGACTGTGCAACAGTATCTGGGTGGTCGGGGATCTGCAGGCAGGTGGAAGGAATGCTCCAGCAGGGCTCAGCAACCAGAAACCTGCCTCAAAATGTAACCCACTATTTGTCATTTTCATCTGTTGGTGCTTGCTCATCCCAGGGTAAACCCCAGACATTTTCTGACAACACGTTTTAAATGCTTGGTGTTTGGGAATGATACTTGCAAGCAGGCATCCCATGGGGTTGTGAAGGCTTTCCCAGGTTAGAAGCCACCGACTGGAGCCCAGGGGCTTCTCCTTTGAGGGTTCAAGCCCAGCAGTGTGTGGCTGTTTACATTAGGCTAGTGGCTAATGCAACTAGGATCTCAGTTTCCTAGTTGCACTTCCCGGGGCTGTGCTGACCCCAAGGCCCTGGAAGTTCCCTTGGCTGCCGGGAAAACTGTGGACATCTCTGGCCTGAGGCGGCCCTTGTCAGCCTGTCCAGCTCAGCAGACACACAGGAGCCATTGCAAAGGGTCCTTCTCTGTTTTCTCCTAGCTGCACTGCTGCGGCATTCACAACTATTCCGACTGGGAAAACACAGATTGGTTCAAAGAAACCAAAAACCAGAGCGTCCCCCTCAGCTGCTGCCGGGCGACAGCCACCAGCTGCAATGGCAGTCTGGCGCAGCCTGCCGACCTCTACGCCGAGGTGAGCCTGGGCCGGCACCCTTGTGGTTGTCAGCCTGCCCCCGCCAACCTTCTCTTCTACTTCCTTGTGGAAGTTGCTTGCGTGCCTTGAATGCAGTTTTATTTTACCGTAAGCTGGCTGGCTGTGCTGTCTTCTTGCCTTGTCTGTAAGTTGCTCCAACTGTGTTGTCTCTTTCCCTTTCTTTGCTGTGTTGTTTCCATCTCGGCCTGTGAGTGGTATGTGGCCCTCGGCTGGCAGGTCAGGAAAACAGGCTGACGTGGCGACTGTGTGTTGCAGGGCTGTGAGGCTCTGGTGGTGAAGAAGCTCCAGGAGATCATGATGCACGTCATCTGGGCGGCGCTGGCCTTCGCAGCCATTCAGGTAGGGCTGACCATGGCTCCGCCATCGGCACTGCAGGTGGCGGCTCGTGGTCTGGGGAGGGCGCCTTCTAGCTGCTGCCTTCAGACCCAGATCCACAATGTTCCAAAGACACCAGAGGGGAGGGGTGGGGGCTGCCGTGTGAGGGCCCTTTGCCAGCCAATGCCTGGTGGAGAGCACAGACTTTGACCACAGTGTGTGCAGGAGCCACACTTGGTAAGGTTTTCAGAAACCACACTGTCGTGTTTCACTTGGAAAATGGAACAGCTCCATTCCAACTCTACATATGGTTCCCCCTGTTAGTTGTCTTGAGGGCTGTACGTATATACATACCTCACTTGAGAATAGAAGGAGCAGATGTGTGGCTTTCCAGAAAAGACTTCCAGGGCAGACTGCAGTGGTCACTTGACTGTGTCTGTGAATGTGTTGTGTGTCTGCATGGACAAGCATGCAGACCTGTGCCCTGGCCTGGCCTGCAGGAGCAAGCTGTCTGCTCTTGGGAGCCAAGGGCCTCTTTCCCAACTCCTGCCAGAGAACAGTCTCTTTTGTCGCTGGAAATTACCAGTTTAATCGCCTGGTGTCTGGCTGCTCGCAGTCCCTTGCCCCTACAGCCCGCACCTCCTCACAGGCGCGTCTGTCTGCTGTCCTCGTGTCTAAGTTGGGCACAGTAGGTCTCCTGATGCCGCTGGGCAGTGTCCTCGGAGAGCCTTGGGGTGGCTGTTGGAGTATCCCCCACCCTGTGCTGGCTGCTCCAGACGGTCTCTGTGTTCTGAGGATGGGCTTCAGTCAGGAAAGGGTATTTTGAGAAAGCTACAGATACCTTCTAAATGTTAGATCAAGTCCCACATATTTGCTGTGTTAGTGTAGGTTGCTTGAATTACCTGCTCTTTGTGTATTTGAACAAAACCTGTGTGTTTCAACGGATAGGGGCTTTTAAACTGGCAAAGGTGGTTGTGCTGCTGGGACTCACGCAGCTCTGAAGGATGTGCTAGAAAGCCTCCCTGGTGGTTCGACGTGGTCCCTCCCTCCCAAGTGTGCCCTCTGGGGCCCAGGGCAATAGGAAGGTGTGACCAGCAGGGAGGGGCTTATTCATTCACAGGAGCTTGTTTCCCAAGTTGGATCCTGATCTGTGTGTACACACACACACACACACACACACACACACACACACACACACACACACACACACGGCGCACAGCTTGGAACTGCCTGGTGCAGTGGCCGTGATGTGTACAGCAGGGGGCCCTGAGACCCACAGAGACCCCCAGCCTTGACTCTGTCCCTCCAGGGCAGCTTGCTGGTAGCCAGCCAGCATATCTCCCATAGCTACAGTTTCACTGGGAGCTGACTGCTGATTTGATAAGTAGGCCGCAGGCCTGCCAGACATGTTATTTGTATTCTATCTTCATAGTTGGTGAAAATTTTATATTTTCAATTCAGCAAAGCTAAGTCAGAATGTCAGAGCTTTCACAGGTTTGAAATTTTTGAAAGTTTCAGTTGTAAGGGGAAAGCATGAGTTAAGATAATTTTTTTAAAGTATTTATAAACATTCTATACTTTTGGTATTCAAAGTGAGACATAGATTGAGGCACAGAATATGAAAGACTAGAAGAAAGGCACAAATAGCTCAAACATCCATGAACTTTTGTGTTTGTGTGTTACACCATACAGATAGAGAAATGGAAAGCCAGAAAGGACACTTTTGAGATTGTCCAGCGCCTGTCGGCTTTGAGGGGGAGCCAGGGTCAGAGGATTCAGGACTTCGCCCGGAGAGGTGCGGGGGAGACCTGCACCCTTGCCGGCTCTCTCTGAGCTCGGCTTCCAATTACAAACCAGGCACCAAGACACTCAGGGTTGATTGTGGTGTGAAGCCTGATAGCACAGGATAAAATACAGAAATAAGCTGGCAGTGGAGGGGACAAATGATTGGGCCAGTGGCTGAGATCGCAGTTCAGACGACACATCCGTGGTCACAGTGCCTGGCTTGGGGTGCTGGTTCTACTCCTGGCCCGGCTTCCTGCTGACCAGACCCTGGAAGGAGGCAGGCCGGGCAGTGCCTGGCTCCATGGGGAAGAGAGTGCCAGCTTCAGGCCGGCCATCTTTGACCTTTGCAGGCATGTAAGGAGTGGACCAGACGATGGGAGCTCAGAAAATCTCCCATCACAAGAGAAATAATTTTTGAATGGTTCAGGTTTTTTTAATTTAAGGAAAAACTGTAAATTTTTTCTTAAGATTTATTTTTATTTAAAAGGCAATTTACAGAGAAAAGCAGAGACAGAAATGTCTTCCATTCCAAATGACCACAATGGCCAGAGCTGAGCCATCCTGAACCAGGAGCTTTTTCAGAGTCTCCCACACAGATACAGGGTCCCAAGGCTTTGGGTCATCCTCTATTGCTTTTCTAGGCCACAAGCAGGGAGCTGGATGGGAAGTGGAGTAGCCAGGACATGAACACATGCCCATATGGGATGTTGGTGCTGCAGGCAGAGACTTACCTTACTACACCACAGTGCCAACCCCCTAAAACCAGGTACATATGGTTGTGTCTGTTTCTGAGCCCAGTGTGTAGTTCAGCACATGTATAAAACGTGTAAGCATCAGATCAACAACATTTCCATATCTACACATTTTCATGTTTGGAGCCTACACATTCCTCGCTTCTGGTTCTTAATGAATCATGTAAGTTGTGATTGTTGTCACCCCACTGTGCGTAGAGCTCTGGCACTGGCTCCTTTATATTTAAAGAGTCTATTTACTTTATTTATTTACTTTGAAAATCATAGGAAGAGCAAGAGATCTGTCCTCTGGTTCACTCCTCAGGTGCCTGTAGTGACCGTCGCTAGACCAGAGGGAAGCCTATCTGGGTCTGCTATGTGGGTTCAGGGGCCCAAACACTTGGGCCATCTTCTGTTTTCCCAGCTATACTATAGAGCTGAATCAAAAGTGGGGCACCTGGGCCTTGAACCGGCATCCCTATGGGATGCCCCTGCTGCAGTGGGTGCCTAACTGCTACACCACAGCACCAGCCGTGGCCCCGGCTCCTGCTTTGTGGTTTGGTTCCTGTCGTCCATTGTCCCTCTGTTCCACCCCCTTCCTGACCTCTGTAAGCTCTGTTCTGCTTCCTGCTCTGTGAGAGCGTCACTGTTAGCCGACATGTGCGTGTCCAGGAGCGTGTGCAGTAGACAGGCATTCTCGTTTGTAGGGTTTGGATTTCCTCACGCCGTCACCTCCGCAGCACGTAGTGCACTGTGGAACATGTCTCTTGGCACACACTTGGTCACCATTTGCCTCTGCAGAGTCAGTTTTTGTGCCTACTAGGTGTTAGGTCTGGGCTAGACAAGGTTAGTTCTCATGGCTTGAGTATTGCAGGAGGAATTTTCATCGTAAGAAATGTCATTAAAGCTAAAACATTTGTGAAATAGTTACAAGTCTCTTGGATTTTTTTATTATAAATTTTATTTATTTATTTATTTATTTTTTAAAGATTTATTTTTTTATTATTTTTTTATTGGAAAGGCGGATATACAGAGAGGAGAGACAGAGAGGAAGATCTTCCGTCCGATGATTCACTCCCCAAGTGAGCGCAACGGCCGATACTATGCCGATCCGAAGCCAGGAGACTCTTCCGGGTCTCCCACGCGGGTGCAGGTTCCCAAAGCTTTGGGCCGTCCTCGACTGCTTTCCCAGGCCACAGGCAGGGAGCTGGAAGGGAAGCGGGGCTGCCGGGATAGAACCGGCGCCCATATGGGATCCTTGGCGTGCAAGGCGAGGACCTTAACCACTTGCGCTACCGCGCCGGGCCCAAATTTTATTTTTTAATAATGATTACATGGTTGATCAGGGTGGGAAAGTTTAGCGAAAATTGGGTGAGCTCATTGCTTCCACATTTGCTATTTCTTCTTGTTGTTCCTGGGGGAGGGGGAGACAAAGGAGGAAGCCACTCATGACTTTTCCACACGTCCCAGTGCCTACATGAGGATCCGCCACCTCATGTGTGTATATGTTCTGAGCGTTCTGTCCAAGTGGTTTGGATAGTTCTGAAATGCTGCAGATTTCCTCCGTCAGTGGGTGACATCACCCTTCCAGTGTTCTTTAGTCTCTTGGACTGCTTCAGGAATCAGTATGGTATCAGAGTAGCAAAGCTTTGGGGGAAACCAGGAGGTGACTGTGCAGATTGTACACGTTCTGAAACAGCCATTTTCTCAAGCCAAGTCGGGCTGTACCCAGCTCGCTGAACTGCTGCGGATCCATGCACAGCGCAATGATGGAAATGTGGGCACCAGGAAGGAAGCAGCCTGCCTTTCAGACCTCACTGAGTGCCAGCCCGCCTGCAGAGGGCAGCGAGCTGGGAGCATGGGAGGAGCTGGGGCACACCAAGCCCCAAATCAGCTATGTCCTGCTTAACGTTTCTGTTGCTAGTCTAACGTTGCCCTACAAACGTAATCCTGCTTGATTTTATAGCTCTCCTAAGAATGTTTTGATGTGCAGTGAGTGAGCAGAATGTATTTGTCCAAGAATTAAAATACTAAAACATATCTAGAATCGGCATAGGATATTTAGTAAACTTTGAGCAGCATCCACTTTAAAGTGCCTGTTAGTTGCTTTGCCCCTTAAAGCACACAGCAGGTGTTGACTTGATAAAGTGACAGGTTCTAGCGGCAGGTGTGGAATTCTGCATGAGGAGGCCATGGGCTGATGTGAGGACAAACACTGGCCTGTGTGACTTGAGCCCAATCAAGGCCATCTTATCAACTCTGTGTGTCTCCCTCAGTCATCCACTTGAAATGTAAGGGTCTGGGGCCCAGCACAGTGGCTCAGTGGCTAAATTCTCCCCTTGCACACGCTGAGATCCCATATGGGCGCTGGTTCATATTCTGGCTGCTCCATTTCCCATCCAGCTCCCTGCTTGTGGCCTGGGAAAGCAGTCGAGGACAACTCAAAGCCTTGGGACCCTGCACCTGCTTGGGAGCCCTGGAAGAAGCTCCCGGCTCCTAGGTTCAGATCAGCTCAGCTCTGGCCATTGTGGCCACTTGGGGAGTGAATCAGCAGATGGAAAATCTTTTTGTATCTCCTTTCTACAAATCTGACTTTTCAATAAAAATAAATAAATCTTAAAAAGTAAATAAATAAATAAGGGAAAAAGAAATTTGAGGGTCTCTTTATGGACCAGGTATGTTTTGCTAAGATTAGAGTGGTCCCATATGTACATAGGGTCCTGATTTTTTTTTAAACATTTCTTTGTTTATTTGAAAGGCAGTTAGAAAGAGAGACAGAGAATGATTTTCCAGCCACTAGTTCACTCCCCCAAATGGCTGCAGTGACTGGAACTGGGCCAGTCCAAAGTCAGGAGCTTCTTCTCGATCTTCCATGTGGGTGCAGGGGATTTGAATTGGTGCCCAGATGGGATCCTGGTGCCAGAGGCAGCAGCTTTACCTGTTCTGCCACAGTGCCTGAGGGCCTGCACTTGCATCCTTCTGGTCCAGCTCTGCTTACACTCCTGGGAAGCAGCAGAATGTACCCCAGGTACTTGGGCTGCTGGCTCTCGTGGTCATTTTGGGAATGAAGTGAAGGATAGATGAACCTTCTATCCTTATTTTCTATCTGCCATTTCGAAACAAATGGGTCAGAGCACAGCAAGCTAATCCCCCACATGAGGTGCCAACATCCCATATGGGCACCAGTTCAAATCCCGGTTGCTCCACTTTCAGTCCAGCTCCCAAGCCAGCTGGCCCAAAGCATTTGGCCCCGGCATCCACTTGGGAGACTTAGACGAAGCTCCTGGCTTTTGGCTTCAGACCAACTCAGCTCTGGCTATTGCCACCATTTAGGAAGTGAACCAGTGGATGGAAGACCTATCTCATAAAATAAGTCTTTCAAGAAAAATGGGTAAATATAATAATAATAATAAAAGAATGTCACTTGGGACACCTGTATCCCTGATTCAAGTCCCAGCTTTGCTTCAGATCCCAGCTTCCTGCACACATGTGCCCTGGGAAGCAGCAGTTAATGGTTTCAGTTTTGGGGCCCCTGGCCATAGGAGACCAGGGCTGAATTCCCAGCTTTGGCTCAACCTGGCCCAGGCCAGTCTGTTGTGGAATGAACCACAGAGCTCGCTCTCTCTCTCTCTCTCTGCCTTTCAAATAAAAAAAGGTAATAAATAAAAACTTCAAAAATGAAATACAGCTAGTACAGGCAGGAAGTACGCTTTTTTGTTTTTTTTTTTTTTTGGTTTTTTAAAGTACTGCAATTTGTTTTAGAACTCCCAAAATGCCTGAAGCAGCCAGCAGGTGGCAGCTCAGTACCAAGCACTTGAGCCATCACCTGCAGCCTCCAGGGTGCGCAGTAGCAGGAAGACACTGCCGTGGTGTCTTCGTTACCTCCCCTAGTTGTTAACATTGTTTAAATTAATTTGAACTTAGATAGGTGTAGCTAGTAGCTCCCATGCCAGACACCAAGGCCCAGGGAATGGAAGAATGAGTGTGATACTGGCTAGGGGCTACTTGTAACAGTGCCAGGATTCAGAGCATGAGCGGTCTGTGGGGTCCTCTACAGAATGCACTTGGACGGCTTTCATTCCATTCCATGCACTCCTCCCAAGTCCCAGTCCGGGGCTGCAGTGTGTTTCCTTTTGAAGGTCATCCATCCTTCCTTCTTGTTTTGTGACAAGTCCCAGCCCTTCTGCAGTGGCACCTGGAGTGGTAACAGGTTGTGTTGCCTTGGGTACACAAGGAGATTAAGTTGGATTAAAAAGAAAATAATGCTAAAGGTTTTGACCTAGCTTCTCATAATATTTAGACAATAACCAAAGGGCTAAGCTCTTTGAGAGCCTGTGGGTGACAGCTTAACCCACTGTAGCACCCTGTTGACTAAATCAGTGTGTTAATGCTGCCCCAAGCACCCGCCCACACAGGCTGCAGTGTGCAGCACAGACGGAACCCGTTTCCATCTCTGCTGGAAGTTGTTGGTGGAGAGGTCTCTTCCCAGCCGGCTTCCCAGTTGCTGATGCTCCCTGGAGTCCTGTGTCCGTGCGGCTGTTGGGTCCCTGAACTCCTCTGCTGCCAGCGAGGAAGCGCACAGCGGCCATTCTCCTGTGTTCTCCCCGCAGCTGCTGGGCATGCTGTGTGCCTGCATCGTGCTGTGCAGAAGGAGTAGAGACCCTGCCTATGAGCTCCTCATCACTGGTGGGACCTACGCCTAGGAGATGGCTCAGCCTCCGCCGTGCGGCCATGGCCTCTGGCCTCGTCAGTCTGCTGGAGGACGCGTGCACTGGGGTGGGACAGAGCACTCGGCCTTCCTCATCCTCACCCTCCCCGCACCCCCGACTTTCCTCCCCTTTGTCCTGACTCTCACGCCCTTGAGTTGGAAGTGTGGTGGCCAGTGCTCTGCTTGGAGAACTGTGACTGGCAGAGTGCAGTAGAATTAAGGGAGGGCGTGGCCTGCTGTGACCTCCAGGCGGTGACGTGACTGACAGAGGCTGTCACACCCCTGGCTCTTTTCATTCTTCACAGTGGAGAACTCTTGGCCAAAGCTTTTGGGGGAAGGGGGAGGAAGCCAGCTGTCTGGTTAAAATTCTTTCCAGATAGCGCCCCTCAAGGGTGTCCTTTTAAAAAATATATACTGTAGTCCAATAAGATAGCAGCTGTACAAAATGGCTAATCTAGACGTTAGGATCACACAGTGTGTATCTTGGTTCAACTTCAGAATTGCAGAGTGACCTTTGGAACTAGCGGTTTTAACCGGTGCTGCCTGGCGGTGGAGGGTGGGGCGTGCACAGCTGTCCTGGGGCTAGCGTGAGAGCAAGCTGCCCTGCGAGATCCAGCCATTCGTCGTAGTCTTACCTTGCTAGGAATCATATGCCCGGGTAGACCAGCGGAGCAGGATGGAGATGTGTTCTCAGTTGTAAATAGAAAACTCTAACTCAATAAACTCCGTATCAGCCCTCCACGTGCGCTTTGTAACTGTTTGGGCGGCACTTCAGAACAACAGTGTGCAGTTTACAGCGATGCTGTGGTCCTCATGGTTTATGTGTGGTTCATGGGGCCCACTGCAGACTCTGAAGGCCTTGCTACTTAGAAACTCACAGCAAGACGGAGCCGCCAGTGGCTTCACTCTCTTCCATGAGCTCTGGGGTCTGGGGACTCATGCTGGGAACTGTCGGAGCAGGCCTGGGGACTCATACAAGTGTTTTCGATTCCAAGGGTGGTTGGAGAGAGGTGAGGAAAAGGCCCCATGCTGGCTTGCTGGACCAGGCCTGGGGCTTCACACACATGCTTGCATCACAGGCAGGCAGAGGAATATCCCCGGCCAGCACGTGTGTCAGAGGACTAGGTCTGGGCACCAGTTTGTGAGCTTGTGTCCCTGGGGGACAGGCAGAGCACCAGGCCAACATGCCATCCCACCGGAAGACTGGGCTGGGGAACCCATGCACTCCTAGGCACAGGGACTGTGGATTGGCAAGGGAAGGGGATATGGGGATGTGAGGGAGGACCACTGAGGGTCCTCAGTGTTGGTTGTAGGTGTAGGTGGGGAATGACTTCTGGGGTACTTCCACTGACAAAGCCACTGTGCTTGCAGGTGAGTGAGGGGAGCTGAGTGACTGAGGAGGGAAGCTGGAGGACCTTTCTGGGTCAGACTGGTCTGAACTGGGCTGGTTAGTGTTGACCAGCACTGACCACCACCCATCCCGATACACAAAAGCTAGGGCTGGTGTACCCACCAGTGAGTGTCAGAATAGGAGATGAGGTAATGTAAAGCTGAGCCATTACACTAGCCAGTACACAAGAGAACCAGGACTAGGGACAGATTCTGTGGGGTATATGTGGGTTCACCCCTTTGGAACTGCAATATATGGTGGTTTGCTCAAAAGCTAGAAGTGGTGACAGACCAAGTCAGGTATGACCATGGAACTACCCAACACTCAGAGGTACTAGGATTGGGGACAGGTTGGACTGGTCCAGGCAACAGTACCTGTAGGCATACCCAAGAACGAAGTATGAGGCAGGCCAGGCTACAACACTCGCCAGCACGCACAAAGGCCAAGATAAAGGGAGTAGACCATGTCAGGTAAGGGACTAGCACCCACTAGCACACATGAGATTTGGATCTGAGAGTGGCCCTGGTGGGAGAACTTGGGGAACTCCCTTGGTGGACTGTAGCTCCCACTAGTGAGCACATGATTCAGTCCTGGTGTTGGTCAGGCTGGGCAAGGCTGCTCCACTTGTTGACATGTATGTGGGTTGGTTTGGGGGAGGGGAGAAGAGTGGACTGAGCGGGGCCAGTCCAAACTTTAGCATGCTGGCATGTGCAGTAGGCAGGATGGAGTGTGAGTCATGCTGGGCTAGGCTAGGCTATCACGCCTACCAGTTTACATGAAAGCCTGGGATGGGGGCAGACTGGGCAGGGTTAGGCTGTAGCACCCACCAGCCAGAGTTGGGACTGTGGGCGGGCTGGACCAGGTCAGGCTGCAGTGTCTGATGGCAAAGACTAAGCCAGAGGATGGGCTATGCCAGGCTGAGTCAGTGCAACCACTGCCATGCACAAGATCTGTGGCTGGGAGCAGGTCTGGTTGGGGAGATGACCTGATGGAGCAGCTTGGGAAACTAGTCTGTCAGGACACAGTCCCCACGGGTGAACATGAGAACTAGGACTGGGAACGACCCAGACCAGGCCAGGATATGGTACCCACTGGCATACATGTAGGTCAGGTCTGAGGGCAGGCCAGATTGGAATGTGAGAACAAGGACATGGTATAGGACAGGCTGGGTTGGGCAACAACACCAGCCAGTTCACATTAGGGCTGGGACTTGAGGTTGGCTGGATTGGGCTGGGTTAGGCTGTAGCACCCACCAGCATGAGCCGGAATTGGGGCAGGCTGCAGTACCTGCCAGGCTGCAGTACCTGCCAGAAAATGCCAAGGTGAGGCAGGCCATGTCAGACTGGGTCACAGCACCCACCAGCACATGTAAGACATGGGTTGGGGTGGGAGACAGACATGTCCAGTAGGAGAGTAGTGGGAGTACCCCTGCTGAGCCACTGTTCCTACTGGTGAGCTTGAGAACTGGGACTAGGGGCAGACCAGGCTGGGCAGGGCTACAATACCTGTTGGCCTGCATAACAGCTGGTTAGGGGGAACTAAGCTGGGCTAAGCGACCATATCCACTGCATGCATGAGCTAAAGTAAGTACAGGCTGGTTGGGCTTTGCTGCAGCATCAGCTGGCAAGTGCTAGAACTGGGGGCAAGTCTTGTCAAGCTAGCCTACAGAGCCACCTGAAAAGTGCAAGATCTGGGGCTAGGAGTGGGCCCAGTGGGGAAAATGTGGGTACCCCTCTCATGATCTGAGGGTCTCACTAGTGAGCTGGGAGTGAGCCTTGCTGGACAGGTGGTAGCACCCACCAGCATGAATGTGGGCTTTATAGTGGGGTCAGTCAAACACTTATTGGTGTGTACCGAAGCCTAATGGGAAGCAGGACAGACCAGTCTGCTGCACATACCGGCATACGCAGGAACCTGGGTTGAAGGTGGGCCTGGTGGGGACTCCTAGGGGTTGCTTGACTAAGTTACAGTTCCCACTGGTGTGTGTGAGGGCTGAGTGGTGGGCAGGGTTGGGCTGGGCCACAGCATCAATTGGTTTGCATAAGAGATGGGGAGACAGAACTGACCAGGCAGTTGCAACTATCAGGGTGTGTAGGCTGATGTGGGTGACAGACTGAGCCAGACCCCATATTGCCTGGCACACACAGGAGCCAGGTCTGGGGTCGCCGCAGATGAGGTTTTTTGGGGGACTACCCCACACACCCAAACTGGATAGCTGGACTCAGAACTCCAACCATAGGGAAAATTGCAGCATCTGTGGTCTAGCCATGGAGTGCGTGTGTCAGAACTGGGTCTCCCAGTTGCTGAAGTCTATGCATCACATGGCATGTCCAGATGCACATGGGGAGTAGAGCAGTTCATTGGGAAGGTACCATCTAGTACCATGGAAGGCAGAACAAATTGGACAACTCTGCAAACCAAATGTTGACAGCAAGTGTCTGGGCGAAGGAAGACTCTAAGGTAGACTGTGTCAGCCAGTGGACCTTGGAACGATTTCTTCTTCCTTGGAACAATGAAATCAACAACATTCAAGAACCACTGAAGCCATTTGGGCAGTGCCCTCGGAGCATTCTCCACGTTGGGGTCCTTGGAATGACATCGGGTGGCCACTCCCCAACCCCAGCTACTGGAAACAATGGTCTTGTTCACCTCGTCCTATTCATTGACCCTTCTCACCCTAATCAGTGGTCCACATGGGCATGTATCCTTCTCAACTATGAACATCATCAAAAATAAAATAAATCAAGAGGAGAGTTATTATTTAAAAGGGGGAAAAAAAAAAGAAGCCCACAGGTACTTTCAGCCCTGAGGATGCTGTCATGTCATCACCAACGTGTTCCCATGTGGGAGGTGGGCACAGAGACCGGGATCCCTCCCATACTGTGGGGTAGCTGCACTCAGGAGAGAGCCGAACAGGAACACCTTGGAGTGGGAACGTGGTGATCAGTCAAGCGCACTGACTGTGGGCCCACCCTGCGGGTTGGAGGAGGCATTCAGAATTTGAGTTGATGCGGTTTTCAGGGCGTGAAGTGGGGCATGGCCAGTGGAGCTGGTGAGGAATGACTGGTTATCTGGAAGAGCAGTGACAGGCCATGCACATTGGCCAGGTGTGTGGTGGGGACCGAGAGAGCCCAAGGGTACCTGAGAGCCAGTTGGGGAAGCATCTGCAGCGAGGGAACAGTCAGGCAGGTGCCCCGTCTCGGGACAGGAGTTCCCGTTTGGTTTATGACTCTGAGAAGCCCAGATGTCACCTGAATCCTCCCTCCAAAGACACAGGAAGACAGGAGGGGAATGAGAATCAGCTGTTCATAGAATGGGAGAGTCACCAAGCATTTGTGACTTCCTGGTGGCCCAACCCCTCCCATCCTTGTCCACCAGCTGTGCTCTGCAGCCCCCTGGTGGTGTGATCCATCCCTTTGAAATGCTGCAGCTGCTTGCCCAGGGTCTGCCGGCTGTCTGGTCAGATACTTAGGAGGAGGCTGGGTGCATCCCACAGCCAGAGCACTGCCTGTATCGCATCCACACAGGCGCCTCGTGGGAGGCCCACCAGGGACATGCTGTTCACGGTCACCTAGTCCAGGAAGGTGAGTGAGTGCTCTTCTGTAAACAACCATTAGCTGTGAAAGGGGGACCACACAGGAGGGAAGCCAGGGAAGGCACTCAAACCCACAGCAAGGGCCCCGTGGCTGCCGCGGGAGCATACCACGGAGCACACCACCCACCCATGGAAGAGACTGACCCAAGCCTCCATCAAGAATCTCGGGGGAGCTGGGCCAGATGGATGACGATGAGAGAAAAGTCCTTCCTCCCGCAGCCCAACTCAGTCAGCAAGGCGCAATGTAAGTACCTGGCACGCCTGGTCAGGGCGCCATCCATCCTCCAGTGATAAGGCCAAATAGGGGCTTGGCCCACAATGCCGACTGCTCGCTGCTGGCACCAGGCTTCTCTCAGCTGAAGCACGTGGTACCACTCCGGCCCAGTCTGTTTGCCAGGATGGTGAATGCCAGCTGCAATCCCCGGTCAGCCCACCCTGGCTTTGCTCTCACCCGTGTTTGCATGGCCGTTCTGGGATGGCAGGTTCCTATTTCCTGAACACGTTACAGGTCATCGCCATCTACTTGTTCCTCCGACAGGTGGGGTTTGCTGTGGCAGTGCCTGCGTCAGGCCATGTCGGTGGCTCGGGGTCACGATGTGCCTTCCTGGTCCAGCCCTGTGGCCTCTGTCAGAGCTTTCCTGGCTGCTGGATCGCCTCTGTTCCCTGTCTGTGCCTATTCACTGAATTGCTTTGTGTCTTTTAAAATCTTCCTTTTAACAAAAGTGATCGATCGGGGTTTTAAAAATGTCAGCAGCA